GGGGGGGGGGGGGGGGGGGGCTGGGATCAAACCCAGGATTCGTCTTGTATTTGGGTAAAGTCACCCCATCCCTTTGCCAACTGAGCTACACGACAGAGGCTAAAGGCTATTTATGCAAATTAGGAAAAGGATCCTACTAGGGAAGATATTAAAGCGGATATGTGCAATTGCTATATACAGGGCAGATAAGGCAGAGATTATACTAATCTTCTAAATAAATAAATCACAACTAATCCCTTATTCTCAAGGATTTAGAATATCGGTTGAATGCCAACTGAGATTTGTTGGACAGATTCAGTTTCCGGCACATGTGGAGAGAGGATTGGATCTTCTTAGGTTTTGGAAGAAATTAGAGGAAGGGTTTGTGATTTGATCAGGTCTGTGCGAATACCTTCATTCATGAGAAAATGTTCAGTCATATTCCCATGAACAACCACGTAGTATGGTCGATTTACGAAGAATGTGAAATCCATGTAGGTGAAAATTTTATGTTCAGAAAGAGAAAAACATTTATACCCTTTTTGATCTGGAATAGCCAAAAAAAAATGCATCTAGAAGCTCTAGGGTCAAGTTTGCTTATGTGATGTGGATGAATATGGACAAAGGTTGTACTCCAAAAAAAATTGGAGTTATATCTGAGATGAGGTGAGTGTGAACAAAAGACTGTAGAAGAACCTAACATTGGGGATTTGAATTTTAAGACACAAGACTTTCGGTTTATGAGACAGGCAACGGTAAGAATAGCATCTTACCAAAAGTGTATGGGGACGTTAGAGGTGAAGAGAAGGGAAATAGCAAATGTATATTTTTCCACTTGGCAACCCCTTTTTGTGGAGGGGCGTCGACACATGGGATTTGATGCACAATTCCTTGCTTAGAGAGGTAAATGCCAAGGTAAGTAATCTGCGACATTGCCACTTTTAAGTACTTGGATATTTGTCTGGAATTAAGGTTTTATCATCGTATGAAAGTTAGAAACCTCAAGTAAATAAAAATGTTAAGCCAATGTATTACCGAACATCATTGAATGTATCAAAAGAATAAGAAGAACCATTCAAACATGTCAGCACAAATTGTGTAGCAAGTCTTGAAGGGATTTTGATCTGCAACAACATTATGAGAGATACGAGAATTATCAAAATCATAAACAATCTATTGATATCTTAAGAAATTGTGGTTTGAACTAGCCTCTAGCAAGTCTTGTGAAATATGCTTCAATCAAACCTCCGACATTTGATTACTCCATCTTTCACATGAAAATTGCAACAATCTCCATTTTTGGCAACTTTCTAAGTTAAAGATATAGCAAAATGCAACAAAGGTTGATTTAATTATTATTTAGTGTCACGGAGAACTTTTTTCTCAATTGAGTTAACGAAGTTCCAAAAATCCCTATTTTGTACCCATTTTGACCGATAACGTGATGATCTTATAACATTCGATGGCATGGATACTTGTTTATGGAAGGATTATGTCGAAGTGATGATGAACTTGACATCCACGTCGTCATCAAATGTTGCACAGTCAAAATGGGTACAAAATAGAAAATCTCAAAACTTAGTTTCTTTAGATAGAAATATTTGAGACTTTGTTATATGGATTGAGACAACAAATTCTTTCTTATACAGTTATACTAAATGGTTGCATGTTGCCCTTAAAATTAAATATTCACACTGCCATTGTAAGAAAGCAAGATTCCATAAATTTTGTCATTGTTAAAGGGTAGGTAAGAGTAAGACATCTGACTAATAGTCAACAAGAGAATGACTTTTTAACCCATTATGTTTTCTTTTCCATCGGGAACTTACAATTCTTCTTGTGGAAATGCAACAGGAACACTACTGTTTGCAACAATGAGTAGATCCAGACAAGTTATGAAAATGTAAGGACTGAAAAACCATAATACTTGACACTTTCTGCCCAAAATAGCGTAAACAAGGATTTGTTGCAATAGAAACCAAATCTGTTTAGGAAGTCGATCACTCAATAGTTGAACACATCCTTAAACCACAGTGTTAAATCAAATGTGGCAATTTTCATGAGAAAGAGTGGAGTGAGGAAGTTGATCATCCAATTAGCTTAAGCATCTTCATGTCTAAGTAACACATGGAAATTTTATTTTACGTACCGATAAACCATTGGAATATTTCTCGTGGACGAAGATGTCTTGTGTCCGATCGACTTTTATTTGGTAGCTCGATCGTTCCAAAGAGAGAGTTGCTTGCTCCCATTCCTCAGAAGAATCCATCTACCAAATGACAGCAAACAATGTTATAACTAAATAACCAAAAGGCTAACTTGAAGGAACTTGTTCCATAAATAAACTGGCCACAAACAGTAAGTAAATCGTTTTTGTATCAAGTGCATGCTACTAATTTACAAATTTATTCATAAATATATTCACCTTTTGGAATAAGCAGAAAATCATATGGGAAGGATGAATTAAATCCTTATTGCGGGGGAGATACTTGTTGGGCCCTGTACTATCAAGTAATATAATTTTCAGCCATCTTGTCTTGCTCGATCATTTTCATTTCATTTTTTAAGGGCAACACCTGGTACTTTTTATAATTTTTAAATTGTTGAGAGAAATCAAATCAGAAAAGATTTGATATTAGCGGATGATTCAGCATTGTTTATACTTTGCTTATTTGATATTAGAAACATTGCATTTTTTATTCTAGCATTTACGTATATTATCCTGATTTAGTCCTATAAATATGCACCATTCAAGGAAGGAAAAAAGATTTTCCAATTCCATTACTTCTATAAATAGATACAAATGTTTCTAGTTTGTTTATGTCTAGGATAAATCTTGTTCTTAAAGTTCAAAACTATATGGGCATGCACGAGTAATGGAAGCTAGTCAAAATGCTTGGCTGGCCCAAGTTGAGCCAAGCCGGATCATTTAATCGTTTGACCATCTGAGCCTATATGAACCACATGATGTTATTAATATCTTTTCAATCCGCTAGTCTTAGGGGTTGTTTACTTCCCGTCGTCCTTGCGGTTTGTTAAAATTGCAAATTCCGTCCCTGTGGTTTTGAAATTGCGGTTTTCAACCACAAGGGTGGTGCCTGATTCGTTTGAGTTTAGCTCCAAAGGTCAAATGTACCTGGAGGTCCCAGGTTCAACTCCAAGGAGGAATCAAAATCCCCTTGTGGCCACAGAGGTTCAAATGCGATGACTCCGGGCTATCTGCGAAGCAGGTGGTCGCCCTGGGATTAGTCGACTCGCATAGCGGGTTGGATATCCAGGTTAATAAAAAAAATTGCGGTTTTCATCTGTATGGTTTGCAATTCATTACTATTTTTGTCCCTGAGGCTAACCCCTACCTTCAGCCTAAATAAATTGTAAACTAGGGGACAAAAACAGCAATAAATTGTATATCATATGGACGAAAACAACAATAAATTGTAAACCACAGGGATGAAAAGCGTAATTTCGAAAGCACAAGGACAAAATAGCAATTTCCAACAAACCATAGGGACGGAAAAGGAAAACGTAATTTACTCTATATTTTTTTAATCCGCTAGTCATAAAGGTTGTTTACTACCCGTTGAATGCCTCTTACTAGGTAAGAGGTGCTTACACGGTAAGAAGGGATGTTGTTGATAGAGAATAAGATTATATTATTTCAAGATTTGTAAAGATATCAATTAGTGATTTATGAATATCTTGTTTCCTTGGTTAGGATTGTATTCTCTGTATATATTGTGGGTTAATGAGAAATCCAAGGCAAGGAATATTACTAAATAATATGGTATCAGAGCTATTCTAACAGCTTCATTGACAGCTCAACAACTTTTTGCTGTTGCTTCCCTCAACTCCTAACAGCATCATTCATTGCTGTTGCTTCCTCTCTGTCAATCATCTTTTTTTTTTTCAATTCTTCCATGGCACCCTCCAAGGAAGACTCATCGTCATCTCCATAGACCACCATGTTTCATCCTGCCATGGCTGTCACAAATATCCGAAACCTCTTTCCCTTCACCTTAGATCTTGAAAAAGGCCAATATGCTTTCTGGGTAGAGCTATTTCAAGTTACTGCTTGTGCCTACAACGTACTCGATCACATCGATGCCCAAACCTCACGTCCGGCTGACATTGACAAAACCCTTTGGAAGCGACTAGATGCAATTGTCAAACAATGGATCTATGGGACCATCTCTGATGAACTTCTTCAAACCATCCTTAAACCTGGCTCTACTGCTCAAGAAATTTGGACCCATCTCGAAGATATTTTTCAAGATAACAAACTCATTTGTGCAGTTTATCTGGAAAACAAATTCAACAAAACCCATCTCGAAAATTTCTCCAATGTCTCTTCTTTTTGCCAACAACTCAAACTCTTTTCTGATCAATTAGCTGTTGGTAATCCTGTCTCCAATCAAAAGCTTGTTTTACAAATGGTCGCCCCATGTTCGTTGTTGGTGATTTTAGTGTCACCAGGCCATTTAAGTGTAATCGGAAGTAACAACGAGTTCTAATGGGTTCTATATTGTGTTCTAATACAAGTCAGGAGGTGCGGAGTGCACACTTGTTATAAGACGAGTATGACCCGGACACGACAAAATGGTGGGGTTCAAGGGGTAGAGCCCCTTGCGGGATCCAAATCAGAATTTTGGACTTAAAATGTAGTGGAAAACTTGATCAGAAGGACCAGAAGCTCTTGTTGGTAAGACCAGAATTAAGGACCAGTTGGGGGGGGGGTCTGGTTGTTAAGGGCCAGAGGGGGCTCTGGTTGGTCTTGCTTCTGGTCTCGTTGAGCAGTTAATGTTCAATTAATGGTGCAGATTTTGTGACTGTCCACTACTCCTAATAATGGGCCATAATTGTCATTTCGGTTATTCTTTATGAGCATAAATACCTTTTATACTTATGTTTTTTGTGACTCACATTTTTAACAACCCTTACTATACTACAGCAAGTTTACTCTCGTTTTTGTGCCTAAAAACAGAAGTGCTCTCACAAGTCATCCCATATTGAATTTCGTGTAACCCGGGCATAGGGTCGAAATATCAATTCGGAAAGTGATTTCTTACACGACTCTCAAGTAATCCGGTTCTTGATCGATTACCCTATTTTATTATTTTCGATAACAATCGAATTGATATTTCGGTGAAGTCGATCATGGTCGATTCTGTGAAAGAGATGACCTCGAAGTTCGGAAAGATGGAGAAGTTTGAAGGAGTCGATTTTAGGCGCTGGCAGAAAAAGATGCATTTTCTGCTAACGACGTTGAAGGTGGTGTATGTACCGAGTACCCCCATGCCTGAAATAGTGGAGGACGAGACGCTGGAATAGACCCGGAAGAGGAATAAGTGGGAGAATGGCCATTACATATGCAGAGGCCACATTTAACCGATATGACGGATTCCCTCTTTGACTTCTACAAAAATGCGGAAAGTGCGAAGGAATTATTGAATTCCCTTGAGTCAAAATATATGCTTCTAGTAAGAAGTTCTAGGTGAGCAATTTTAATAATTATAAAATGGTTGACTCAAGGCCTGTAATGGAACAATATAATGAAATCCTTCACATTTTGGGTCAATTCACACTTCACAAAATGAATATGGATGAATCCATTACTGTGTCGAGTGTGATTGACAAGCTTCCACCGTGTTGGAAAGATTTCAAGCACAACTTGAAACATCAAAAGGATGAACTGCTTGTTCAACTTGGTAGCCACTTGGGCATCGGAGAATCTCTTCGGGTGTAAGAAAATGGGAAGGGCAAGAAAGTTGAATCGGGACAGCCCTCGGTTAACATGATCGAGGAGAAGAAAACATACTCCAATAATGATAACGGGAAAGGCAAGAAGCGAAAGTTTGATGGACCCAATAAATCCTTCAAAAAGAAGAAGGATTTGGTGTGTTGGAGATGCAACAAATTGGGCCATTGCAAACGTGATTGTCGGGTTAAGCTTAACGGTGCTGGTACAAGTGGAACAAGTGGAGGATGTGGAGCCGAGTCTAGGGACCAAGTTCAAGTGAAAGGAGGTCAGGCTTTGACTAACTTTGATTTAGATAAATTCATCTATGTTTACTATGTTCCACTAATTCCCGAGTCTTTTTATGTATAGAATGATGATTGTGCATGGTGGGTGGACTCGGGGGCGACATATATTGATGCTGGTTCAAGAAATTGACATCGGTTGAAGATGGATTTGTGCTAAACATGGGGAACGAGTCGACTGCACCGATTTGCGGGAATTGAGTAGTTAGTTTAGAGTTTGCTTCTGGAAATCATGTTAGGTTGTCTGATGTTCTTTTTGTTCCAAGAATTAGGAAAAATCTTGTTAGTGGAGGTCTTCTAAATTGTTTAGGTTTTAAACAAGTGTTTGATTCGGATTTATCTCGATATGGTAGATTTGTCGGTTTTGGGTTTTATCATAATAAAATGTTTCGTGTAAATCTGGTGAGTAATATTTTAAATTCTAAAATTCTGCATTTTTATTGTCATCATCTTCTTCTAAAATTGACTCGATGACTTGGCATGCAAGATTGGGTCATGTAAATTTTAGAAGAATGCATGAAATGTCAAAGGATGGATTGATTCCAGCCTTCAATATTTATGCAGAAAAATGTAAGACTTGCTTGCTTACAAAAGTTACAAAGCAGCCCTTTTCCAAATGTTGAAAGAAAATCGGCTATTTTGGAACTTGTATACAGTGATCTGTGTGATTTTCATTCCACTCCTTCATTGGGTAATAAAAGGTATGTCGACATTTATTGATGACAACACTCGGTTTTGCTACGTCTATCTTTTGCATGCCAAAGACGAAGCATTGGATAAATTTAAAATTAAAACCGAGGTTCAATTACAACTGGATAATTCAATTAAGTGTCTCAAAAAAAATCCGAAAGTTCTTCTTTGTGGCGATAATACCAAAATAAGACAGACATTATCGAATAGCGCCTTTTGATGAGAGATATGAACAAGAAGCTTCAAGGCCTTTTCTTCTTCTTCGCATCTGTTATTTTGGCAAGAACTGATCGGGGAGGGGATTATATGGATCCCCAATACTTCCAATCAGTTGGTATTATTCACGAGACAATGACACCATACACACCTCAACAAAACGGGGTTTCCGAACGTAAAAATTGAGTTTTAAAGAAAATGGTAAACTCGATGCTTTCTTACTCAGGATTGAGTGAGGGATTTGGGGAGAGGCCATGTTAACGGCCTGTTATGTGTTGAATAGAGTTCCAAACAAACGGAACAAAACCACCCGTATGAACTCTGGTTCAAGAAAACTCCGAATTTGACTTATTTTCAAATTTGGGGTTGTCGGGCTGTTGTAAAACTACCTGAACCCAAAAGGAAGACTTTGGGTGAATGTGGAATTGATTGTATATTCATTGGATATGCAGAAAATTCCAAGGCTTATAGGTTCTATGTTAGAACCTAACGATTCAGTATCGATAAATACCGTTATCGAGTCGCGGGATGCGATTTTCGATGAGATGTGGTTTTCATCAATGCAAATGCCTAAGGACCTGATTCCTAGCAATAATAAAGTGCAAAATCCAGAAAAGTTTGGATGGTGTTTCAAGTCCCGAAACACAGCAGGTCAGGTGAAGCAAACGAAGCCGAATTGCCAAAAATTTTGGTCCCGATTTCCAACTTTATTTGGTGGAAGGATCAAGAGATGAGCTTGGGCTTTAATACTCTTATTGTTACAGTATTGAGGATGACCCAAAGACTTTCCAAGAAGCGATGGAATCTCAAGATGCCATCTTTTAGAAGGAAGCAATTGATGACGAAATGATCAATTCTTGAAAATAACACATGGGTGTTATCAGATTTGCCTCTAGGTTCTAAACCTCTTGGATGCAAATGGATCTTCAAAAAGAAGATGAAAGTGGATGGGACAATTGATAAATTCAAATCCCGGTTAGTCATTCAAGGGTTTCGGCAAAAACCCGGTATTGACTATTTCGATATGCATGCTCCGGTAACACGTATTTTGACTATTAGATTGTTAGTCGCCTTGGCGACAATTCACAATCTGATTATCCATCAAATGGATGTGAAGACAACCTTCTTGAATGGTGATCTTCAAAAAGAAGTTTACATGAAACAACTGGAAGGTTTCGTTATGCCCGGAAACGAGCTTAAGTATGTAAACCGGCAAAATCATTGTACAGGCTGAAACAAGCGCCTAAACAATGGCATCAAAAGTTTGATGAAGTTATTTTGTCATGTGGTTTCGTCTTACACCAATGTGACAAATGTGTTTATAGCAGATTTGATGCTAAAGGTGCTAGAGTGACCATCTGCTTGTATGTGCATGACATGCTGATTTTTGGAATTGATCAAAATCAGGTAGATGAAACTAAGAAATTGTTGTCATCTAATTTTTCCATGAAAGACATGAGGCTGATGTAATTCTTGGTATAAGAATTAAACGGGATAACAAAGGGATTGTGATGACACAGTCACATTATATTGAGAAAATTGTCAAGAAGTTCAATTGTAGCGATTGTCGTCCCATAAGCACTCCTGTGGATCCTAGTGTGAAATTAATGCCAAATACGGGCATGTCTATTTCACAACTAGAATACTCTAAGGCCATTGGTAGCTTGATGTATGCCATGACGAGCACCAGGCCAGACATAGCCTATGTTGTGGGATGGTTGAGTCGGTACACTAGTAATCCTAGTACTCAACATTGACAAGCGATTCAAAGAGTATTTAAGTACCTTAAAAGAACCATGAATTATGGTTTGAGTTACTTGGGATATCCTTCAGTTTTAGAGGGTTATTCGGATGCAAGTTAGATATCCAACATGGAGGACCACTCCTCGACTAGTGGTTGGGTATTTTTGCTTGGGGGAGGTGCCATCTCTTGGACTCCAAGAAGCAAACTTGTATCACGAACTCAACAATGGAATCTGAGTTTGTGACATTAGCTGCTGCTGGTAAAGAGGCAGAATGGCTAAAGAATTTGATTTATGAGATTCCATTGTGGTCAAAGCCAATTGCACCTATTTCTATCCATTGCGATAGTGCGGCCACGTTAGAGAAAGCTTATAGCCAAGTTTATAATGGCAAGTCTAGACGCCTGGGTGTTAGACACAGCATGATTAGAGAATTGATCATGAATGGGGTAATCTATGTAGAGTTTGTTAGAGCGCAACAAAATTTAACAAATCATTTAACTAAAGGTCTGACAAGAGACTTAGTGCACAAGTTTGCAATTGGGATGGGATTAAAGTCCTTATAAATTTATAATGGTCAGACACTGAATTCCTTTCTAATATGACTTTAGAAGCTAAATTCAATGTGGAAAGCTGACACTTATAAATTGGAACACAAGATTGAATCATCTCAGGTTTGTGTTCGATACGGCAATGGGAAGGTTGAAGTTTATCTTCTTAATAATTCCTTTGATGAAGTGTATGTGCAGGTACACGAAGTAAAGGAATTACCTATGTGGTTGCAAAGTGTAGCCGCACTTCAACAGGGTTGGGGACTTGGCCTTTTATACAATCATGAGAGGATTAGGACACACGACTTTATAAAAGTGTAATTTTATATTGCTAGACGAGTATGGTAAACTTGTATGTATTTTATCTTTAGGTATTCAAATGAGTTGATGGGTTCAATCCTTGGGACACTTTGATTCTCGAATATTTGAAATGTGTAAAATACTAACATGGAAATTCAATCGATTCGATATTTCATTTATGTGCAAGTTTGGTTTGTTCAATTTTAAGATGTTATTTCATGGGTTACACTAAAATGGGGAGGATTGTTGGTGATTTTAGTGTCACCATAAGTGTAATTGGAAGTAACAACGAGTTCTAATAGGGTTTTATATTGTGTTCTAATACAAGTCAAGAGGTGCAGAGTGCACACTTGTTATAAGACGACTATGACCCCCGACACGACGAAATGGTGGGGGTCAAGGGGCAGCGTCCCTTGTGGGATCCAAATCAGAATTTTGGACTTAGAATTAGTGGAAAACTTGATCAGAAGGACCAGAAGCTCTCGTTGGTAAGACCAGAAGTTCTAGTTGATTAAGGACCAAAGGGGAGGGGTGTTCTGGCTGTTAAGGGCCAGAGGGGGCTCTGGTTGGTCTTGCTTCTGGTCTCGTGTCTAGAACAGTTATTGAGTAGTTAATGTTCAATTAATGTGCAGTTTTTGTGACTGTCCACTACTCCTAATAATGGGCCATAATTGTCATTTCGATTATTTTTTATGAGCATAAAAACCTTTTATACTTATGTTTGTGACTCATGATTTTGAACAATCCTTACATATTCTACAACAAGTTTGCTCTCGTTTTTGTGCCTAAAAACGGAAGTGCTCTCTTGAGTCTTATCCCATATTGAATTTCGTGTAACCCGGGCATAGGGTCGAAATATCAATTCAGAAAGTCATCTCTTACACGATTCTCAAGCAATCTAGTTCTTGATTGATTATCCTATTTTATTATTTTCGATAACATTCGCTACCATCCACGACAATCTGACCCTCTTCCCACCTTCCACAAAGCCAGGTCTGTGCTCACCTTAGAAGAGACACGTCAGGCCAACATGAAGTGTCACCACCATCCGCTCTTGTTGCCTCGAATCCCACAAATACAACCAACCCCACAAACCCGATACAAGCCCCACCTCCCCAAAACCTACATAGCAGCAACCTAAATAATCAGGGTAGGGGAAGAGACCGTAATAGTGCTTGGCGAGGTGGTAGAGGCTGTAGTTGTGGTGGAGGACGCCATCCTTAAATCAACAGTCCTGTGGCCTCAACAAAATTGGGCCACACAAAACCAGCACCACCCTGCCCATACCCAACGCAAACTTGCAGCAACAACAGACTTCTCGGCCCTGGCCCACAACGCCCAAATCCACATCCTGTCCAGGCGTATGCCACAATCCAACCTACAGAATACGGACCCCTTATGACTCCCACGGAACTTGGCAACACTTTCAGTACCATGTCCCTCCAACAGCCGGACGACACATGGTATATGGACACCGGAGCCACATTCCACTTGACCTCTTCCCTTTTTAATACGAGCATTAGTTGGAAACGGCCACCGCATTCCAATTAAAGGTTAAGGCCACACCACTATCTCTCATCCCCACCCTTCATTTCACCTTCGAAATATTTTATACACTCCCCGCATCATTAAAAATCTCATCTCGATTCGTCAGTTTTAAAAGGTAATCATGTTTCCATAGAATTTGACCCACTTGGTTTTTCTGTCAAGGATCTTCGTACAGGGATACTTCTTACATGATGTCCCAACAAATACAATATTATTTAGTAATATTCCTTGCCTTGGACTTCTCATTAACCCACAATATATACAGCGTATACAATCCTAACTCAGGAAACAAGATATTCGCAAATCACTAATTGATATCTTTACAATTCTAGAAATAATATAATCTTACTCTATCAGTTGTCTACAAACACACTCTGACCCACAAATCTGTTGACTGAGATGTTGACCCATTAAGGGGTTGCTTTCTGACTCGGTTAGTGCTTCGGTCAACTTTACCCAAACACTCGGTAAACAACCATTTTCAGTCAGCACTTACCCAGACTGCACTTTTACTCGGTTAGCGCTTACCCAATTTGTGTTGGTAAACGGCCCTAAGTCCCCCTATTTTTGCACTAGCCACCATTAAACATCAAACAAGGAAAGTCAAACAACAAACTGTACCAGCAGCAGAACACTAAATGATGCTTGACCGACCGACATATATTTGTCTAGTTCCTGTTGCATTTCTGGATCTGCAAATTTTCATGTTTCAAAAGATTAGGAAGACAAACCACCGAATTTCACTTTTCAACAGAATTAATAATTCACTTGTGAAAAGTATGAAATTTCAATAGTTGAATTAATCTATAAAGTTGAAGTTGTTGACCAAATAAACTTACCACACATTATTTTCTTCTGCTCATTGGCGAAAAGTCGCACCATTTCCCCCTGGTAATAACAAAGTTTCAAGATCAGTATTGTTGAAGTGTGTTCTCACATCACTAAGTATGAAAATATAGAGTACCCGATGGGCCGAAACATGGATACAGTACAACATGCATATATCATATTTCTCAAACAATCCAAAGATTCAATGAAAAGGTCAGCTGGAGCAAAACCAATCTCAAACTCAGAAAGATAAATAGATCGAGCACGCTGAGGGCAAACTGAGAGATCCGATAGCACGTTCTACAAGCCCTAACTCCCACGCAAGGAGGTAGCAACAGTGTAAAGTTTGTATACCCACCAAAACAAAAGGCAAATCATTCCGTAGGTCCCAACAAACCGAGATCCAAGTGTGAGTTTCAACCACAAACAACAAATATTGAAGTACATGGATCTAACAATAAGTATTCAACAAACCAAGCACAATAGACCAACCACTAACAAGATCTAAGAAATATATACCAATATCAAGCAAATATAGTAAATGCATGCAAAACGTGACCAGGAGATTTACATGGTTCCACTACCGGGGAGGTAGGGTTGTTTGACAGTTGCTGAATGGTTTGGTGCAGAATGATTAAGTGGTCAGAATGATTAAGAGACTATGTATGATATAGTGTAGAATGAAATATGGTTGCTGGGTAACTAGTCAGAATCAAATTAGGGCTCTGAAAGGTTCAGGGAGGCCTAAGATACAAAATCATTCAGAAGATTTTAGAACCATTAAGAGGCAGACTTTTTTTCGCCAAACAAGATTAACCTCTTAGCGATTAAGAGATTGGTTCTTAATGTAACTATTAAGAGGCAAATAAACAGCCCCGTAATGTACATGCCAAGGTGTTGTATGCGACTTGCGTACGCATTGCTTCCTCGGAAAAAGTGTGGCCATAGGTGATGCTTGCAATGCCACCATAGCTTGACCCCTATTACTTGTCTCAGATAGTCATTGTGGTGGAGTTACAAAAAAGGTCCTTTTATCATGTGATGTCGTAATTTAAAAACACAAGCGAGTAAAATGCATAAGAATGAGCGTTTAGATGAGGGATCTCTATTGAGGTGTGCTGGTGATATGACTTCCAAACAAGGCTATTCCTGAAATACAGGAGCAACGCCTGGCAGAAAATAAGCCTGTTGCCACTTGGAGAAGTCGTTGGACTGGGGTTAAGGTGACCGAAGCAGTGAGACTGGTGATGGTGATTTGTGGCTCCCAGTGGCAGCTGTGGTGGGCCTGGTGGACGGGGGATGGAGTTTTTGACGTCGATGCCTTAGCTCTGATATTATGTAACAACTAAGATCCAAACTGTTGAATTAAAAATCGGATATTAAGTTACTTATACAATAATGTAATTACTTTGGCATATAGGTACACCATAAGAACAGAAATCTCACCTGTCCATGCTGAATTGGAAAAAGAACCAAAAAATACATTCACAGTTAACATTGCAATACAAAACACATAAATAGTTAATTTTGTCTTTAAACGATGTATATAGAGGATGTTAATGTAATACCTTACGACCTTGGTAATTGTTTGGTATGCACTCAACACTAATAAGTTTATCAACATCATCAGCTGTAACTACATATTCCGGCATTACGGCTCCTGTGTCATGGAAATGTTGTGGATCAAGAACACAAAAATATCAAGCCCAACAAAATTTTAAGAAAACTATGGCCCGTCAAGAGGCTCCAGGAAGTCAGATTAGGAGAGACTTCATCATTTTCTCTTAGGAAAAATCCCTTCAACTATTGATGTCAAAAATTACCCCTGCCATCCCCTTATAAATGCAATAATTTCCCATTCGGTGCATCCCAATATCCCATATGCAACACATGATCATAAATTACAAACAGAGACATTCGATGTGGCCCAGCTGTGCTTCTCAAGTGATTTGAAACTTATTCTGGATAACCAAAAGATTCTGAGTTAAAAATCCCACACTAGAGTACTGACTGATTAATTACCAGGGGTTGTTGATGGTCGGGCAGTAGAAACTCACCCCACATCTTTTAGGAAAATAGACATCCAATGTCACATACATCAATACACATGGGTTCACCGCTATCTCCTTCGACTTGAAATTTTGCAGTTTATCCAAGAAATTAGACCCTCCCTCCCTTTTTCCTATGATGTGATGTCAATACTGAAGCATTACTTAAATCTTTGGCAACTTCAGAGATCAATTAGTAGTCAATAATTTGACTGATATACACAAGTGGGTGCTGCAGGTAATTGAAATCAATGGCATAGAGGAGTTTTTAGAAACTTACCCTCAATGTACTCCTTAGTGCAATCCAGAAGGTGACGAACCCACTAACATATAGGCAAACAAATAATGATGCGTCAATCACTTCATAGTTCATATAAATAATGAAATATTTAAGCTGAAAATTTGCAACTAGAAGCTTCTTACCCGAAACGTGCATGATGAGGTCCCACGCACCGAATATCCACAGCACATAAGTTTACCGCCTGGTTTGGCATCCCCTTGTATTTGGAAGTCTTCTATTCCCGGCAAATCTTCTATCATAAAAAAAAATTAGCATCGTAACATTCTAATCATATATTGGAATTAATAGAATTACCCAAATCTCCTATAACTGTTTGCTGAAGAAAAATAACCTGAACTTGTGGATGAGAATGATGATGGAGGATGGTTGGAAGTCTTGATGATAGGGGCTCCAATCTAACAAATGAAAACAAAACAAAAAATTACATTTCTAAGTCGTGTATATGTGTAAAAAAACCTATCTTGTTCCTCTCGTATTCATAATATGTCCATATTTTGATGGGACCGATCAAAACAATATTTCATACTTACTTGAATTCTGGAGACATTCTCAAGTGTGAGTGCAACCTCAGCAATTGTAGGACGTTGTTCTCGAGTTTTGTGTAAACATTGATATGCAATAGCTGAAAACATGTTCAACGGTTCTGCCATGATATGTTCCCTTATTCTATGATCAATAATCTTGTCTAACTCTCCATTTTGGTAGCAAGTTCGAGCCAAATGGTGGAGGAATCGTCTCTCGTCATGGTACTTTAATACACATGCCAATCTTCCACACAAAACTTCGAACAATACCATACCAAATGAATATACGTCCGATTCTTTTGTTAAAATACCTGTCCTTTCATATTGTGGATCACAATAACCATATGTGCCGGCAAAGTTAGTGACCACAAAGGTGTTTTGTTGATTTGCTAGACATATCTTAGATAACCCAAAATCTGAAAGTTTTGCATTCCAATTCTCGTCTAACAAAATGTTGGCGCTTTTTATGTCACGATGAATTATTCTGTGGTTTGTTGAAACATGATTGTGAAGATAATCTAATGCAGAGGCAGCACCAACACATATATCAAGACGCTTTTCCCATGATAGTTGTCCCAACATAGAAGGGTCACTTAAATATGTATCAAGGCTTCCACGGCTTGCATATTCGTAGACAAGGATCATCTCATTGCCATCATCACAAAACCCTATAAGGGTTACAATGTTCTTATGTCGATATTGAGAAAGCATTTGGATCTCCGTGTAAAATTCCTTACTGCCCTGAAACCCTGTGACATCTAGTTGTTTCACTGCAACCGGTAAGTTTTGGTAATCCATCCAGAAGAGGATTCCCTTGTAGACCCTTCCGTATCCACCCTTTCCAATGAAGTTTGTTTCATTGAAGTCTTGGGAACAATTCTTAATGGCTTCGAGGGGGATTTTGAGGTGGTTTAGCTCCTTCATCTGAGACATGATTTGAAGTAATCAAGATCAAATGATCTGAAACATTAAACCAACAAATCCAATTAAAGGTTAATGTTTGTTGTTTTTAGAATTTTGAACAACATTAAAGAAACTATTTCCATAGCCATTGAATCAACTTCTGATTGAAAATTTCTGAACATTTTCTCAAATCAGAGAACTCCATATATTAAGAGCTGATTAAGAATGTCTTAGGGGGTGCTTGTTTCGTTTTAAGGGAATGGAAATGGGAATGGGTTTCATTACCAACGATGATTACCCAATTTAAGTAATTACTCATTGCATATATTGAACCAAACACCATTATTCATCATCAATCTCATTCCTCGCCCTTAAAACCCCCAACCAAACATCCCGTAGTTCTACTTTATGGGTTAAATGCATGAAATAACAACCTACTTTCATAAATTTCCTTATTGATATTGTACTTCCATTTTCCTTACTACATCAATATACTTTCAAATTATTGTTTATTAGATCATCATACTTTAGAAAATCTACCCATTATAGCAATACTTCAATCGGTAACTTGTTACCTTTTAAAATGGTTAAACTCTTGCCCAATACTATAATAGGTAAATTTCTCCAAGTAAAATGCGCTAATAAAAGATAATTTAAAAGTACATTGACAAGTAAAATTGAAACTACGTTGATGATGAGAGTAGGTTGCCCTTACTTTTATCTACGATGTTAATTGACTATTCAGAACAACTATCTCATCGGAACCCATTCCACCAGCCAAATTATGTATAAACAAAATCCAAATGGAAGCAGAGATCGATAATTCTTACTGTAGGAAACAGAAACAAACCTGAAATCACAGAGCCAAGCTCTAAACAGATTGAGAGAGATGGCAAATGAAGACGAGGAGGGCGAGGGAGGATTACTTGCTGAATCATTTTAAGAAAGCGTTGACTAACCCAATTGATATTTGATCGCCAGCTACTACTTTACTCTCTCCGGTGATTAGGTTCAATGCTCCTCACAATGTCTTTTTAATTCAAGAACGGTCGTTCAAAAAAAAAACAAGTAGAAATGTGTTGATTTCTATATGTTTATGGGATTTAGCAGCACACTTCATTTATTTATTTTGAAAACTTTCAAACTTACCAATTTACCGGGCAAAACCAGGTAAGATTCTCGGTTCTTGATATATATCTTACCGGTTAAGTGGTTAAAGGGTTGTTTCGTTGGTTTTTCATTAAGTCTAATATGGATAAAGTTATATGTATGGATTAATTTGTCGATATAGACCGGGAAGATTTTTGTTTGAGGTTTTTTCATAGATAAAAGGAGTGTTTTTCAATTGGAATGAGCATGTTTGAAAAAAAAATTGACTTTCTACGTAAAGCTCCCCTAGAAGCTTACTAAATAAGATAATTTTTATATCATTAAACTACTACAAAATAGTAGGGGTGATCAGCGAAACCGGGTACCTACTTGCGGACCCGGAACTGCCTTGGAACTGCCGGTTCCGGAACCGAAACCGATATGAGTGGTTCCGGTTCCGGTTCCTAAAATACGAAACCGATTGAGAATGCATCCGGTTCAGGTTCTCAATTTTTCGGAAATGTTACCCGTTGGGTATCCGTCGGGACTGGTTCCGAGACCGGCGGGTACCCGGTATTTTTCAATTAAAAAAATAATTAATTTTTTCATAGGTACCGTACGAGGTTGAGGATGCGATCGGTATGTAAGAAGTTAAAACGAGATTCAGAAATTGAGATAAAATGATTCGTATATTTTCAAATTGTGTGTTTAATTGGATTCGTAGTATGTAATCGTTAAACTTTTAACATTTACAATTATAGTATATGTAAATATGTAATCGTTAAAATTTCAACATTTACTATTAGTCTATTATGGTTTGTAATCGTTAAACAATATTTCTAAGCATTATTCCGTATAATTTGTATTATTGCTTATTTATTTAGTGTTTTGGCAATGTTTTATTTTTTATTTCTAAATAACAATATTTTAAAATTTTAGGAAGCAGGTACCCGACGGCGTTTCCGGTTCCGATTCCAAAAATTCAAGAACCGTTCTAACCGGTTCCGGTTCCAATATCCCAAGAACCGCCGGTTCCAGTTCCGATTCCGATTTCTGTCAAATAGGGCGGGTACCCGCCTATGCTCACCCCTACCAAATAGTCATTGACAAATAAGTTGTGACAGGCCCGGCCCTGGGCACGTGCAGCCCGTGCGACTGCACAACGCATCAAAGCCCAAAGGGGTATCAAACTTTTATATAGCATTAGTTTTGGGTTTTGTGGTTTAATAATTTGAGACTTGGGCTTTAATTATAAAGAGAGCCAACGGACCAGACCTATTAATAACAAACCCAATGACTATCGATGACAATAGGATAGACGTATCACAGTTCACAAGACGATTGGCTTTGGTGAATTGAAATTGACTATTTTTATTGTTATTTGAGTGTTCGAGTTTTTCAATTTTCGACAATGACGTTCCAGTTCCAAAGGAAGACGATTAATGGTGACGAGTCTAACGACTGTCCATGGGACGATGGATTGATCTTGATGATTAATCGATGCATTACCGACTGCCCGACTATATATAGTCGAATACACGATTGTCGATTAAAACTCTCAAATCTCAATCCTTCAAATCTAGATACAGTTGAATGCATTGTATTTCTTCAAATCTGGATTCTGGAACTTGAAGTGAATTTGTGGAAGTCGTTTGCATTGTTTCTCAAACCATTATAATTGATTAATTTTGACATTATGCATTCATAGTATTTCCAATTGATACAAGCTCTCTTATATCTTATGGTAATGGTTGTTGATTTGTTGAATGTTGAATATGAAAAAGTAATTGATATATTTGCTTCAAGAAGTGCACGAAGACATCGTTTTAGGTGATATATTTATATTTTGTAATTTGCAGTTTTGGTTTTTATGTCCCCCTTTGGATTGTTCATGTTAATTAATAAAATTCGACGTAAAGTTAAAATGTCTAGCTTGACTAGATTCCAAACCCTTTAGTAAAATCGTATATTTCGTTGTTTCATTTGCTTAAAAAATAGACATAGGGGCATTTTTTTAGCATATTCGCACAATGCATCAAAAACCTTAAAAACGGCACTGAGTTGTGAGTCTCGTTAAACTCATTAAGATGCTAACAAGCAGGCCCTAAAAGATTTATCCTACGCAACAAGAAGTTAGTAAATGGTAGATCCACTCCTACATGTTAACGCTTCCAAGGCTCGCGTCTTACTAAACAAGGAAGAAGATCTTCTCCCTGCTATCGTCACAAACTCTATAAAGGTTACAATGTTTGCATCGTAATATTTTGAAAGCATTATAAAAACCTTTTGTTTGTTCATTTTCTTGTCGCATCCTTATCAACTCAACGAACGAAGAGCATCTTGAATGTAAGGTTCTTATAAATAGAAAGTATAGAAGAACCATAATTGGAGAGAGATCTTATAAGAATCGCCACATCCTTCGAGTTTTTTTTACGTATATCATGTTTATATATGATAAATGCAACAAATAAACCCATTCATCCTCCTCAATGTTTGAACCTCTGGCCTCCTAAGAGATCAAAGGCTCTTTGGTTACATCCTTTGAGTTCTTGTACAAAAACTTTGATTCTTACCTTAAATTTGGTATAAAGTGATTTTTTGTTTGTTTTTTTATATATTTTATTGATTATAATCATCATTGATGTTGAAAAAAATGCATGAAATCCACAAAATTGGTCCTTTTAATAACTGTCGTTATGAATTTTATATAAGTTCTTAATTTGACAAGATGAAAATGATGTAACAAACAAACCTATAAAAGAGTGGATTCTTATAAGAATTGATGAATACTCTAAAAATTCTATAGAACTCCTCTATCTAGTCAAATGTATATATAAAAATTAATAAAATAACATATGACAAAATAATCAAAATAAAAACTCTATGTATGTTGATAACTTACAGGTTAAATACATGAAATAGCAACTTACTTTTGTGATTTTTTATTATATCATTATACATTCATTTTTTCTTATTACAACAATGTAATTTTAAATTATTTTTTATTAAGACATTGTACTTTAAAAAATCTACCCAATATAGTAATGGGTAACTTGTTGCATTTTAAACCAGTTAACCTTCGTTTTTTTATGCTTATATGGCTTAAACGATGTGACATAGATGACATGTCATTTTGATTACGTGATATTAATAAAAAACCTCTTCCAAATTTTTTAACATTTTCCCCCTTCAACCCCCCCCCCCCCCAAATTATTCATATCTCAACCAAATGTTTTTCATCACTCTCTTTAAAGTGTACTTTCAAACAAAATTCACTCTTATTAAATTATATGTAAATTAAATATTGTTATATTAATGAATAACTTAGATTTGTTTAATTAATCTAAAAAATTTAGTAAATAATATGTTACATTAATTTTTTTGAAAGTACAATGTAATGTCACGTCAACAATATATTATATATGGATAGTCTGCATGGACAATGGAGTGACATAGAAACTTGGTATAATGAGTAAATTTATATCAAAAGATTACCTATAATAGGTAGATTTTCTAATGTACAATGTCTTAATAAAAAATATTTGAAAGTATATTGTTGTAATAAGAAAAACTAAAAATACAATATTATAATAAAAAAATTTATAAAAATAGGTTGTTATTTCTTGCCTTTTACGCTAACTTATAAAACCCTTCCACTATGGTAGTAACTTAAGAACCAAGGAGAAATAAAAATCCCCTTGTGGCTACGGAGGTTCAAATGCGGTGACTCTGCGCTATCTGCAAAACAGGTGGTCGTCCTAGGATTAATCGGGTCGCATTGCGGGTTGGATAAACAGGTGGTCGCCCTGGGATCAAGGATTTCAAGAAGCCTGAAAAGTGTAATTCTATAACAAGAGACTCTTATGATAATCTGTTATATAAAAAATAGTCATTTTTAATAAGTGCAAAGTGCATCAACAAAGCATCACATTGCGCCCACGTGCTTAACACACCCTCGTGGAGCCCCCACCATTTTTAATATATTAAACTTATATATATACTTCCATTTATATATCCATATAGATTTCACTCTTTCTTCTACACAAGACAGATGAAACCACCAAAATGAACTTTTCTCTTTTCTTAAAGACTCGACCTAAAGTAAATAAGATTTTAATATAATTTTGAAAATTTCCCAACAAACCATAGTTTTGATAACAAGACTTTTTAATAGTGCAATTTAAAAAAAAACATATTTATATATATATATATATATATATATATATATATTAATTTAATAAGTGTATAAAATGAAATAAAAAAATAGAAAAAAGGAAATAAAATATAATAAAAAATTATAAAGATATAAAATATAACATTTGAAATTAAACTTTGTAAGAGCTCGCAAAAACATCAACAAAAATTGTGGCTATTTTTTTTTAATATTATTAACCTGGATAATCAACCCGCTATGTAAGCCGACTAATCCCAGAACGACCACCTGCTTTGCAGATAGACCGAGTCACCGCATTTAAACTTTTATGCCCACAAGGGGATTTTTATTCCTCCTTAGATTTGAACATAAAACCTCCTGATACTTTTGATCTTTGGAATCAAGCTCAAACCAATTAGGTATCACCCTTGTGGTTAATTGTGGCTATTTTATGTATAGATATAAAAGGTTTATTATTTTGCAATAAAAGGGTATGAAAATGATTGTTTAAATGATTAGCTTTTTGTCTTCTTTATGATCACCATATCAACAAGAGAGAAGTACCCATGTTCCATTTGCTCACATCATTTCGACTTTTTTTTAGACATAATATATGGGTCGTAAAAGCCTTTTATACTGAATGAGTTTTACCAGCCCGTTGACTTTTCACAGAAAGCCAAAATCTACTACAAATAAAGATGCATGTAAACAAACACACCCATGTTCTCACTCTCACTCATCGATTCCAATCTAAACAACAAAACCTTCTAAAGTAGTCTTATTGTTCTTTACTTCATTTCTACAAAGAATGAGTATATAACACTTGTATCTATATTGAAGAATATAAGCTTCATGCTTTCGACTTCCTTCTGTCATCCAACGCCTATTCGAGAAAAAGGGAGAGAAAGCGTGTTAAATAACTTTCCTTTTTTGGAAGGTTGATACAGAGCAATTAAGGGGGGACTTGGTTCGTTCCAAAGAATGGAAATATTGGAGAATGGAAATGGGAATGAGTTTCATCCCCCCCCCCCCTTTGTCAAAGGAATGATTCATGTAATGACCCATTCCGTTGCATCAAACCAGACATCATTAATGATTTTCCGACCATGCACCCCCTAAATTTGTCAAAAATAAAAACAGGCAAGAGCTCAAGAACAACACGAAATGGAAGATACCTTGCTTTGGAACATTCTCATGGTGAGCACCAAAGTGTCGCGCATTCTACAAAAGGAAACAATGCTTGATTTTGTGTTGACAAGAAAAAGATTGGTACATAAAGAGTAAAACCGAAGCTGCCAACATGTGGTTGAATATAGCAAGGCCATTCTTAAAGTTGAAGTGAAAAATGGTACATTTTGACTATTGAGGTCAAACAAGCTACTTTTCAAATTCCAATTTTGTTATATATTTGTTACAAACGATAAACAATTTGATGCTTGTAACGGTTATCATAAAGATTAATGTAGGTTTCAAACTTCCCTTGAACACTAAAATAAATTAAAATCAATTTTGAATACGAGTAGTAGTTTGTTTGACCTGAAAAGTCAATGCGTACCTTTTTGCTTTGGAGTAAGAAAGTTAAATACCAAGTAAACAAGAATGAGAAACCAATGTCTTACCGAACATCATGGAATGTATTGAAAGGATGTGAAGAACCATCCGCGCATGTCAACACAAACTGTGTGGTAAGTCCCGCAGGGATTTTGATCTGCGACATCATTATGAGAGAAATGACGACTATCAAAATCAGAAACAATCTACTTATTCCATCTTTTCCATGAAAATTGCAACAATCTCCAAATTTTTGGAAGCTTTCAAAGTTAGAATGACCTACGCACATACTGTCACAGTTAGAAAAAGGGCAAAATGCAACAAAATGCATCGAAGTTTGTCCAACTTATTCGTAACACTTTTGTAAACGGGTATCCACGTCATCGAATGTTACAAGATTAGCACGTTGTCGGTCAAAATGGGTACAAAATAGGAAAATACTTTTTACTAGAGCAAAAAGAAGGTTGGGTGCTTGTGGGCAGAAATTTTGAAATGAGCACATCAATATATGACTCGCTTTCTTTCTGAATCTGCTTTCTCTATTGACATATAAGAGTCTCGACTTGAGCGCTTCCTCGAAATAAAACGGCGAAGGAAGGGAACTAAACCAAACTTTGTTGCATTTTGATGCATATTACCCTTACAAAAAATAAGGCTTCCTGAGTTTTTGTCATTGCTAAAGGGTATTTAAGACATTTAACTAATAGGCAAAAAGAGAATGACATTTTAAACCATTATATTTGGTTTTCCATTGCAAACTTGTGATTCTTGTGGAAATGCAAAAGAAACACTATTGCTTAAAACAGTGTGTGTATTCGGACAAGTTGTGAAAATGTGAAGGCCAGAAAATCAATCATACTCGACACTATCTGTCCAAAATCGCTTAAATAAAATGGTTTGTTTGAAGTAAAAGTCAAATATGCTTAGAAAGTCAATCACTCAAAAGTTAAATACATTCTTAAACTATGTATTAAATCAAACGTTGCAATTTTCATGAGAAATTGGGGGAGTAAACGAGTTGACCGTCCAATTAGCTTAAGCATCTTCATGACTATGTCACAAATGGATATTTTATTTTACGTACCGATACATCATTGGAATATTTCTCATGGATGAATACATCTTGCGTCCGATTGACCTTTATTTGGTAGCTCAATCTTCCCAAAGAGAGAGTTGTTTGCTCCCAGTTCTCAGAAGAATCCATCTGCCAAAATGACAGCATCAGATGTTGCAGGTAATTAACCAAAACGCTAACTTAAAGGAACTTGTTCCATAAACACTAAGATCATCGCTCTAGTATCAAGTGCATGTTATTAGTTTACAAATTTCTTCATAAATACTTTCACTTTTATAAAACAAACAGAAAATCGTATGGGGAGGATGAACTAGATCCATCCATCTTATCTTGCTCAATCATTTTCTTAATGGCATCCTATTTTTGGGCCAAAAACTAATGTTTTACAGCATATTTGAGTTAATGAACCATAATTCTAACAAAAACATTTAAGGGCAAATTGGCCATTTTCATTTAAATTCATTTCTACAAGGACAAATTTTTTCCCAAACAGAATATAGTACTTTTTAACTTCAAATTCTTGATGCAAATCAAATCACAAAAGATTAGTTGTGGGATTAGTTTTTATTCTAGCATTTAAAAAATATTATTCTGATTTAGTCCTATAAATATGTATCATCTATTAATACAGGGGATAAATAAAGCTTTTCCAATTCTATTACTTCTTTATAGATAGATACAAATGTTTATACTTTACTCAAACCAAAGCATTCAATACAAACTTATATGTCAGATAAAAGAACGGATGGATTAGCATTTAGAATCATAATACTTGAAACTTCATTCCTAAACAACCAACGTACTTGCCAAAATGCAAAAAGAACACTCAAGTTGACAAAAGTATTGAAAGTAACACTCTTGTTGGCAGGAAATGTCTTCAAAATGGATTTGGTTGTTTAGAAATGAAGTGTCAAGTATAAGGTGCAAGAAAGCGCACCAGCAGCAAAACACCAAATGATGCTTGACCAGCCGCCATATATTTGTCTATTTCCTGTTGCATTTCTGGATCTGCAGGTTTTCATATTTCAAAACATAAGGAAGGGAAAACAGGAAATTCCACTTTTCAACAGAATTATTAATCACTTGTAGGAAGTACGAAATTTCAACAGTCAAATTAATCTATAAATTTGAAGTTGTTAACCCAATAAACTTACCACACGTTATTTTGTTCTGCTCATTGGCAAAAAGTCGGACTATTTCCCCCTGACAAGAACAAAGTTTCAAGATAAGTAATGCTGCCAAGTGTGTTCCAACATCAATAAGGATGCAAATATGCAGAGTATCCAATAGTAATTGTTCTATGAGATGATGTTTGCATTTCAATAATATCCGTCTGGTAATTGTTTTTTATCTCCATTAGTTTGATAATAACAATAATAATAATGAAAATAATCATTTAATAATAATGATAAGAATGTTAACAATAATAATAATAATAATAATTGATGATTCTCTAACACATATACATACGAGATATCTCTTAACACTCTGGTATATTATACCACCAAGAAATTAGAAGTTTCAACTTATCTCTTAAGGAATAAAAAATCGGATATTGAATTACTTATACACTAATTGTGATAATTTTCACATATAGGTACACCACATAATGACACCGAAAATTTCACCTGTCCATGCTGAATCAGAAAAAAGAAACAAAAAATGCATACACAATTAGCATTATGCAATACAATGCACACAAAAGATTAACAACCCCTGTAAACGATGTATATAATAGAGGATGATCATGTAATACCTGACGACCTTGGTCGTCCATTGGTATGCACTCAACAGCAATAAGTTTATCGACGTCATCAGCTGTAACTACATATTCCGGATTTGTGGCTCCTGTGTCATGGGAAAAATGTGGATCAAGAACCACCAAACTATCAAGCCCAACAAAATTTTCAAGAAAGCTAAGGCATTTCAAGAGGCTCCCAGAAGTCAGATTAGGAGAGACTTCATTATATTCTCTTAGGAAAATTCCTTTAATTATTGATGTAAAAAAATTACCCCGATCATCCCCTTATAAATACAATAATTTCCATTTGATGCATCCCATATGCGACATATTATCACAAACAACAAACAGAGACATTAGGTGTGGCCCAACTGGGTTCGTCAAGTGGTTTTGAAACTTATTCTGGATAACCTAAAGATTCTGAGTTAATCCCACACTTGAGTACTAACAGATTTAACTACCAGAAGTTGTTGATGGTCGGGCAGTAGAAATTTCACCCAATGGCCAGTTGGGTGTGGTTTCCCACATCTTTTAAGAAAATAGACAATTAATGGCATAGACATCAATACATATGGGTTCACCACTATCTCCAACTTAAGATTTTGCAGTCTACTAAAGAACTTAGAACTTCCCTCCTTTTTTCCCTATGATGTGGTGTCAATCAATTGAAGCATTACTTTAATCTTTGGGAACTTCAGGAATCAATTAGTAATCAAAATATTTTACCGGCATACACAAGTGGGTGCTGCAGGTAATTGAAGTCAATGGCATAGAGGAGTTTTTAGAAACTTACCCTCAATGTACTCCCTAGTGCCATCCTGAAGGTGACGAACCCACTAACACAGACGCAAACAAATAATGATGTATCAATCTCTTCATAGTTCAGAGTAATACTGAAATAATTTAGCTGAAAGTTTGCATCTAGAAGCTTGGTACCTGAAACATGCATAATGAGGTCCCACGCACTGGAAATCCACAGCCTAAAAGTTTACCTCCTGGTTTGGCATCTCCAATTATTTGGAAGCTTTCTATTCCTGGGCCATCTTCTATTGGAAAATATAATATTAGCTCCCCGCTTGTAATAATTACATCAAATTACCTATTACTATTCTACATCAAATAAAAAAATTATGTATGTTACCTTCTAAAGCATAAGAATCACCCCCATCATGCATTGGAGGCGGTTGAAAGTAATTGTTATCAGGCGTCTCTTCGAATCTATTGTCCACCCTATTAGAGGCATAAACAGGAGCGTTCTGACTGAAAAATAAAAAAGAAAGAAAATCCAGGTAACTATTTGGAAGTGGATAATGAATACTAAGTCAAGATCTGGAGAACTATCGTTGGAACTTGCAAGAAAGAACACCCAACTACATAAACAGAAGTTCCAATTCTATGCAGGATCAGAATGATGATACCAAGAAAGTGAAAATCAATAAAGCAAACAATGAAGTATTAAAGCAAACTGAGGCATATAAAGTTGTTAGTTGTGTATGAATGGAGTTTACTCGCCCGGTACCATGAAGTTGCAAAAAACTTTATTTTGGGACATATACCAACAGCAACAATCCCTTGGGAAATTTGTCAAGCAAAAATTACTCCGTTGCTCACCGTCATTGTTACAAATAGTTTACAGTAATGATTTTGGTGCACAAGGTCTCCCCATTGTGACATTATTAAAGTTATTTACGATACTTGAAAGGTAGGCTTTTTAAGTTTCATTTGTTTTTACAGTAGGAAAGGTGGAATGAGAAAAGTTTGTAACCATAACTATAGACATTTTGTCAATTTCTATTGGAGCTCAAGTTTTCCTTTTTCTTTTTGTGCATGTGCTTTTCTTTTCTTTTTTTCTTTTCTTTTTGTTTTCTTTGTGTGGGGCAGGTTTAAATTTGTCATGACCACAGTTGAGAGTTGAGGATTTCCTATTATTTATAGACTGTTTATATGGCATAGAAGTTTATTGATAACTAAAGCAACAAATGGATGCAATAATCAAAAGCAGAAACTAAGGATACATCTTGAGAATGATGATGCCAACCTATGCAGCCTGGAAACCGGCCGAATATCATTATCTAGTGATGTATTCATCTGACCATTGAGCATCAGACTATTCCTTCCTCTAGGGTCGCTTTCAGGTGTGTATCTAGAAACATCATAAATGGGTTCCAAATGCCTTCCACCTATAGAATTGTCATAGGGTGAAGGTGAATACCGCTGCTGGCCCTGCAATAAAAGAGAGTACAAATAACTACCAACACAATAAGCACACAAGTATAATTTTATATCCAGAGATGGTTATACCCTGGAAGCTGTTATCAAGTACATATGCTAGGAGTAAAGGTAGAGTTGGTAATAGTTATAACAATGATGTAATAGCAGAAAATAAGAGGCGCATGGACGGTATAGGAATTGTGAGTTTACAAAGGGGTAAAAGGGGAAAGTAGCATTGAGTAGTCTGTTAAATAGGTGTGAGGGGAGTAGGGGAAACGGGGCTTCTCGAAGTGCTGGAACCTCTTAATCATTTGATGAAGAGTATAAAATCATATGCAACCTTTAAATCTACTATTAAAATGATGAATGTACATCAGATACATTTCAACCAAAAAAACTAAAAAATGATTGCAACTTATTGCTATAAAGTAATTTTAAGGGGAATTTGTTACAAGATGGAAGGAGATGATAGTACAAGTTGAAATATAATCATGACTAAACATGCCAAAAGAGTACAAAAGTAAAAGGCAGAATAGGAAAAGTATTATATTTGACCATGAACATAGTTTTGTACAAGTGTTTGACTATATATGTCAGATGTCTTGAATGTCCTCCAATAGTGACAACATAAAGGGATCTTTGGACCATCACTTAACAGCAATAAGGTGGCTTATTGACAACTGGCAAATAGATAATTCTATATTGAAAACTTGCCAAAAAAAGGAAATGTTGCAAATTCCCTTTAGGCATGGCAACGTGGGAAGTGTTGTACTTTACATGAGATGGGAGAAAATATTATAAAATCTACCTTTTAGCTTCAATAAGAACTTTGTAATTAATTCCAATGTCGAGAAAAAACGAATTACACTAAAGTACAAAAGGAGAATCGCAGTAGAAACTTCTTGTTGCTAAAAGAAAAGAAAAAACATCTATGTCTACATGATTTAGAAGTTATGTTTAAGTAACCAAATCAGAGGTGAAACGAAGTTATGGGCAGGGGGAAAATATATGTTATGAACTATAAGGTAGTGATCTTACTTGAGATTCTCTAATCTTCTGCTGCATTTGGTCATGCAAGTGCTGCAAGAAACAAAACATTTGATCTAAGAATTTGGGTGATACGAATTTGGTTAAAGTACTAAGAAACCATCACATGCATGTCTACTAAAAAAAAACATTACGGATACATAAGTCATAAAGTTCTTCAAGAAAATCAGGCTCTTAAATGAGTCGGAGTCATAAGGATATCATCTCTTGATTAGTCTGCACTTGTAGACCAAAATGCACTCATACACTGTCATTTTTCATAGCGAGAAGAATTTCACAAGATTCCAAGGATGGGAAATTTCAATAAGCTAGTATTTCAATGAACTGCAATCTGCCGTTCTTGCACAAAAGTTTGAAACCCTAACTTATGCAATGCCGGGTAAATAAAAGACAACCAAGAGTGTGTCAAAGAACATGAGGCAAAGGTTCACCCTCTTGGTGGGCTTTTAGCAAAACATATATTAGAAAAGAGAACAAAAGAGCGAGAGAAGTCTTTGCCTTGGTACAAAGGAGACCTATAGGATTGTCATCTTGTAGCATAATATAGTTTAGAATGTTATCTAGTGTGGGCTCAATACATATTAGCACAACCATGTGAATTAAATTTTCTTTCAGACCATTTTTACATATTCTCCACCTCTAACCCTAGTAGTAACATCTCATTCTCTTACTAGTTTCGAACCATGATACAGATACCACGTGTGTTAGGAAAACCATATTATCAGTTGACATTATACCATATAATAGGAGAGACAAAAAGGGAACACAAGTTCTTCCCACAAGCGGACCTTGCAGATTGCAGGCTCATAGGGAAGTGTAGCATGAAGGTTGAACATCACAAGGTAAGCACGGGCATCTGTTTGGTTAAATTTTTTTAGTAAACTTTCTAATTTGCCATGATGTCTTATTCATATCCAAGTGATGACATGTTTCCTCCAAAACCAATTCAATTATCCACTTTTGACTTACAGTGAGAAGTCCTCCAAATTAAGTTGTTTTTCAAATATAAGTAATAAACTAATAACCAAAATGGCATCTGAATAAGACAAGTAGGCACAGCTGAAACATACTGTTGGGGTGAAAAAAGTAATTAATATTATTAGCACAAATACACAATAACATCTGGGGGAGTCCATTTGAGAAGTGGTAAGTATTTGAGAAATATAGAAGTGATCCTAGCCCTTCATAAGGAATTCCCCACCAGCGGGGTAAGCAGGAGATGGCCAGGTCAAGGTTGGTCAAGAATTGCAGCTTTGACTGATGAAGATTTGCGGCTTTGACTGGTCAAGCGAAAAATAGAGGGGTAGTTTCGTAACTTCTACGGCAAACAAGTGCATATGTGAACCCATAGTTCATATGTGAATCAGTCAATTAGTTCATATGTGAATCAATTAATTAGTTCATATGTGAATCACACGAGTCATATGTGAATCAGTTAATTAGTTCATATGTGAATCACTTAAATAGTTCATATGTTAATCACACGGGTTAACATATGCACTTGTTTTGCCGCCTATTTGTAAAAGTTACGAAACTACCCCTCTATCTTCCATATACCATGCGAGGAATTATCCGCAGCTTCACAGTCAAAGCCGCAAATGGACCAGATTAAGGGCTACGATCACTTCCCTGCTTCTCAAATGTTTATCACTTCTCAAATGAACCTATGGCATAACATCTATGTCAAATGTCTAATGGATGGTTTCTACACTAACCACTTCTAAAACAAAATAATAGTAGTCTTTTCAAAGGAAAATGCACAGTATCAAATACATGCATGTTCAGTGGACCGAAATGAAAATATTTCAAAATATAAAATTTCTGGGTTTAAAAATGCGCGCATTATGCGAACTGATGCGTGATGCGATGCGATGCGATGAAGAAAGCGCATCAAAGGGACTGATGCGATGCGATTCCATGATGCGATCGCATCACCTACGCATCACTCAATGCGTGCATCAGTCGAGCATCAGCGCATCATGTATATGTTGCATTTTTTGGGCTTTTTTGCAGTATTTAGTTGGGCCTATTAGTTGGGCTTCTTATGTTATCGAAATAGAACGTTAAGACTTAGCCTGTTATGTTACGTTATCGACCTAATAGAAGCCGACGCAAAGAAGTAGAACGTTAAGACTTAAGACAACGAAGAAGTAGAACCAGCAAAGAAGCAGAAAGCGTGAGTCTCGATTCTCGAACTCGATTACCAGGTCGATACTCGAACTCGATTACCAGGTCGACAGCAGATCGATACTCGAACTCTATTCTAATGCCACTTTTTTAACTACTTTATGTTATAAATGAAGTATTTTGATAGGTAAGTATTTTTAAGGTAGAAATTGATATGTAGAATTAATTTATAAATATTTTTTGAATACCGGGCGCATCACGTGCGTGATGCGAGCGCATCAGCATCACGCATCACGCATCGGCTTCCGGGACCCTTAACGCATCGGATCGCATCGCGCTTTTTAAAACCAAGATATAAATAGTCAAAAGACGTGTAATCCACGTTCCAAACATGAAATCTTTTTTAGGTAAATGCAACTTACAGAATACTCCGATCTCTAAGTATGAATTTTATATATAAAAAAAATATGCTATCCAAGAAACAGTCAAGGGAGAATCACAGCTCAGACAACTGTAGATGGGGAGGATGCCCTTATTTTTCTTGTTCATGTTATATCTTTTAAAATAACCACAAATTTAGAAGTAGTACAGAGTGTGGGTTATTTCCAAGCAGTGTTCAACTTGAGCCCCCATTTATTGATAAAAGAACAGTAAAGAACAAGAACTTCGATTTTAGGCAAATAAGGTCTAAAACCCTTGTTTCTTTAAAATTTAAACCATGAATAGTATATCTTTTAAGTACATCGACTTAAAACTTCATCAAACCAAACAAACCCATTAAATTTCACACAGAGGTAGGGTCTATGGCTAGGATGTAGGCAGACCTTTCCTCTATCCCAAGGGGTAGAGAGTTGTTCTCTTGAAGACCCCCAGCTTGCAAAACAAAAAGTAAAAGAAACAAGAGAGCAAGCTACAGGCAGTGAGATGTGTGCAAACAAGCAACACACACAGTAACAGAAAAGGTAGCAAGGACAAATGTGAGAAAAATAGACTAAAACAAAGAAGGAAACACTAAATGCAGTACTGGCAATTACTAGGGCACGAAGAAAAGCTAAGACCAGTGTTCAAGACAAAGATCACACAAGTAGATATGATAGTAAACATGAAAAGTAAGAAACACTAAAACAACCTTCTATCTGACACAAGACCCTAGTAACCTAACTGTCAGTCCGCCACCGCTTTACCCCTCCCTTTGTCTGACTCTCAATCTTCTCCAACCTCCCCTCCTCCCGCCCATGCTACCTGATATTGTGTCCTCAAGAGCTCTTATCAAAGGCCACTTCCTCGGAAAGGTCTAAGGCCGCCATGGTCATCCTCAACTGCTCCTTCCACGTCTCCTAGGCCTGACTATCCTCCATGATTGTGTCTTACTCTCTATCCCCCCGAGTGCCGTATTTTGTCTCCTAGGTACCTGTCCAACATGGTACAACCACAGGTCCACCTGAGCATCCTCGTTTCTGCAACTTCCAACTTCCTCTCAAGTGTCTTTCTCATTGGCCCTTCGGTTTTGCTGGAACTTTTTTGTCTCAACGAACTCTGGTGGCAGCTCTCCGCTTTAACCACCTGGTTTCTATGCAATGTGTTATGTCATCCTTGAACTCTCCCTCCTTCCGAATCATGGAGCCTAGCCTTGGGTGTTACCTAGTTTGAAAATTTTCAAATTGGAACCTACTATTCATAAGTAGCTCCTTATTGAATTCCAAATATAGTAATAGATAATATTAAATATTATCTTACTCCAAATATACATATGATAGTTTGGGCCTCGGTCAAGGCATAGGTTAGTCGACTCAGTTGTACTTTCCACTAGAGGGAAAATAGTAGATGTCAATTAGACATAAGAGGATGAAAAAACATAGTCTATGCTTAAGGACATATTTACGCCAAGCTTAAAGATTAACATATTCCCTTTCAGTTTGGTTGATGAACTCGTGAATAAATACTCTTCTCCCATGATAATTGCACCATTTGGCTTGGCACATAGCTCAAGTAAAATGTTTGACTGAATAATATCTAAAATAACCTCCAATAAAAACAAATAAATGCATCTTTTTTGGACCAAATCAAAACCATCATTTATTTGTGATGATGATAATACACATAATAGACAGATGGGCAAATTTTATTTTGGAATCTCTCCAAAGAAGGAAATGTTAGCACTTCTCATGGGATGCCACAAAAGGTAAAGTGTTGCAATTTCATGAGACGGTGGGAGTAAACAACTATTTTTTTTTGAAGTATATAATATTTATATATGGCAAATGCAACAAATAAACTCACACACCCTCCTCACCTATGGTGAGGTTTGAACCCCTGACCTCCTAGAAGGCCAAGGGCTACGATACCGCTAGGCCAAAGGCCCTTTGGTAGAGTAAACAACTATTTCGTTAGCACAGCTGTCAATCTTTCGTTCAGACATGCAAGACTTTAAGTGTAGGACACATCATCGGGGAGAAGGAATGGATTAGAAACAAACGGGCTTAAGCATGATCCATTTAATGATGATGATGAAATATTACCCAATGTAAATGCCAAAACAGGATAAGTTTCTAGAACCAAAAACCACAAGACTCGTGTTTAACTATTTTAATATAACTACCCGCACGTAAAGTTGCACATTTCATACCTTTACGCTATCAGAAAGAGCTGCGGCATTTGTAAACTGAGGCAAAATGCCATATTCGACCAATAGTCCCACCAAGGATGACATAAAGATATACCTCTCATCCTCAGTAACCTGGGACATTAAAATGTATCAAAAAGGACACAATATAATAAGCAAATAGTAATTAATATGAAACAAAGCTATAGAAAATGATAGATCAAGACTTCAAATAGGCCACCCTTCTTAGTTATCTTGAACTTCGACTGATGATTGATGGTATCCACAAAATATATGAAATGTGCTTAAGATATATATTTAGACATGCATCACCATCAAAAGAGGTGGAAGATGTGATGTGGGCATATCTAATGGTTAAAACATCCATTACTGTAAGTAGACAAGAAAATTGGACAAGGCATAATATCTACTATTTAACAAGAAGAAATCCTAACAGAGCTAAAGAGTGCACACGTTCTCGAAAAGAATTTATTTCTAGGCTTAAAAGAAGAATTACAACTCGTCTCACACTCCTAAATCAGAAACTAGGCTAAAAAATTAGCACATGTGATTCCTCTCCCTGCATATTGCCTGCTAGATTTGATTGGACAATCAGCTTAGCTTGTGAGTCCCTGTGTTATCTGTCATCTAAAGAATTTACGTGTGTGAACTCGTCATACCAAGTACTTTAGTTTAAGCATTAATCTGAAAATCGCTGAACCACAGAGACTATGAAAGCTATTTCACACCAACGTTAATTAAAAAAAAACAGATCATTTTTTTTCCTGTAATCTACTTTTCCAACACTCTTTTAACTTTTATCTGCTCAAGTAGTTAATCAGTTTCCGAGGTTTAAGAGTTAAGAGTTAAGACAATTATTGGAATTTTTTTCTTTTGCTCGAATCAGATATCTCAAATAAGCTACTGTTCTTCATGGACACAGACCTAACTTACCTTTGCCAAGGGTCCAATTTGATACAAACACCAACACATGAAGTGTCACTTGTAGCCCGACAAAATCATTATCAACTCAGACTTCATAATTACATACATATATATTGCTAATATATAGTTGATATAATATCAAAGTTAAAAACATTACACCATACCATGAAGGCACTAATGGATTTCTCTTTCTTCTTGTTTGATTTCAGAAGGAGGGTGGAACCTCCGGCAAAGTTCCCTAGTTCATTAAGAAAACCATAAATACAACCTAAGGTGGGACTCCCTCCTACAAGCATGTCCCTCAACCATTAGGACAGACCCCAAGGTCAAGGTGCAGTGCGTCAACACAAACTTTTTTTTTGATTAACCTGGATATTCAACCCGCTATGCGAGCCGAGACTAATCCCAGGGCGACCACCTGCTTTGCAGATAGCCCGGAGTCACCGCATTTGAACCTCCGTGGCCACAAGGGGATTTTTACCCCTCCTTGGATTTGAACCTGAGACCTCCTGGTACTTTTGACCTTTAGAGCCAAGCTCAAACCAATCAGGCACCACCCTTGTGGTTTAACAACACAAACTTACTACCAGTGATTGGGGAAGCCTTCAAACCACTTATCTAGCAACCAAACAAACAATATTAAGATTCCTCCAAACCAATCTACAAAAATGTTGCAAAGAGACTGTCTCACACCCGCCACCTGTCTTGTTTGATTCGTATAACGAACATTCCTACTTATGTGTTCCTCGATTTTCTACAGATCTTCCTCTAGCATTTCACTTTCATAAGTCAACCCATATCTATATGAAACTAATCAAATTTGAATGTACCACATCATATTCATACCCCACATTCATATTTTTGTTTGAATAAAGATAAATGGCCGAAATGCTTATCTTTGAGAGAGAGAAAATAAGAAGAACAAGGGTCACTCAAAGCAACTATTCTTTGACCTCTCTTACGAAATCCGACAATTTTGCAACTTCTAATGTAGTGTATAATTCTTAAGGCATAGAAACAATGAAATGTCAGAGAAAATTATACAACATGCTCCTACAGTCCTACTATTTATATATATACCGTAAAAGAAGCAAATGTCAAATCAACTTGCTGGGGCAAACATATGAAACTTCGTTCACACCAAAGATGCTTAATCTTAAGGCAGACAACCTAAAGGTTACAAAAGGCAAATGGTAGGCACATGACCCATGACTTACCTTCAACTCATGGGCTAATTTTAGATTTTCATCAAGAACACCTTTTCTACGAGCCAATTCGTTTGCTGCAGACTCAATGGCTTCATTTTGCTTCTCATCTAGAGCCTGTCACGTGATCAAAAGATTCTATATTATACAAAGTTATCCAAAACCAAACCAAATGAGGACAGTATATCCCACCCGAGGTGGGGTCTAGGATCATATGAGGTAATCTATTTGTTGCAAAAAAATGCACCATTTTCTATTTTGTCTTGTCCAAGAAAAATGCAATGTTTCCTTTTTTGGGAAGAATCCTTTGCAAATTTACCTATTTGTCCATTTGAAACAATTACAAAATAGTGATGAGGTTGATTTTGGTCCACAAGCTTTCTCAATATTATATGTTTGAAGGATGTTTTAGGCATTAGATCATTGGTCAAAAACTTTTATTGAGTTATGTGCCATGCCAAGAACTTGCAAATTTTTTGGAAGAGAGAGAGAGCGCGCATTTTCCAACAAAAAATAAACATAAAGAACACAAGCCGAAAGATAAGCTCATTAGATTTAAAGGAAATAGGACAAACCAATCGTAGTTCAGCAAATTTCTTTTCCAATGTATATTTTTCGTTCAATAATTGCCGTTCCTGATATCACCAAATTCAAGTATTGGTACAGAGGATCCATATATACACGTGATGCCAAATAAAAAAAATACTAAGGCAAACAAGCAGGACTATTCATACCTTGACACTTGCAAAGACAATTTTTTCTCGAAGAAACTGGATTTCCTCCTTTTGAGCTTTAGCACGTGCATGGCGTCCCTATGAAAATAACATTAAAGATGTTTGAATCACATTTATCCTCAATACAAAAAGGTAAGTTCTAGTAGCATACCTGTTCATCCGAAGAATATTCAGTATTGTCATCTTCCTTGGAAAAAGGACCTGTTTGAGGATCATGCCTGTAGACAGAATGGTGATTCACATTAGGATTCCTTCAAAAGGTCGATAACAAGGATAAGAATATATTTCTATACTATTACCCAGTTGAAGAATCAGAAGCTAGTGTCTGGATACCAATCGTGTTGTTCTTATTCATCAGGCTCCTATCAGAAGACATTGCATCGAGATTTTCAAGTCCTCTAGAAGACCACATTTAATTGTAAAAGATATTTTTTCCATCGTTACTGGCTGAAAATGGCATTTTATCCAAATTTATTCTCAAGATCCATTGAGAGCAGATCAATTTCAAACCCTCATCTCATGTGTAAGTGGCCACACCTAACAATCATCAAGTAGATCTGTCATGTATTCTCAGCCGGCATGAAAAATGCAGAGGAAACAATCAACTAATGACCAATAAGTTGTTTTAGCAAAAACCAATTGTGTAGACTAAAAGCTACCAACCATATCCACAACACAGATGTATTTGTTTGTCATGGGTGCTATGTAGGGTGGTTCTCCAAGTGAGTTAACCTTGATCTTGTGGCAGACAACAAAGCCTCTCCATGGTATAGGCTGCATTAATCAGGTTGTATGGCTAATATCTGGTGTCAGATTTATTAACTGAAATCCTTAAATCATATTTTAACAATATGCAAGAGTCATATGCATATAATGGGCTAAAATAGAATACTATGTGAGGCTCTTCAAGTAACACATCCAGCCACTTGGCTGTTGGTGTTCTATTTGTTTTTGTTATTTAACATTTCCATTTTTCCAGTCCCATTTATTGTGATTGTAGGTCCCATTAATTGATATAACGTGAAACAAAGATGGGAACGCGCAAAGAAAATGCGAAAAAATGGTATAAATAAATGGAACCTTACTCTTTCTTTTGTCCTGCTAAACAAAATAGTAAGTTGCATGCAAAATCTAAGATCACAGCTTTAATGGAAACTGATATGCTTGTAGAAAGGTGTTTATGAGTTACTTTAAGCAGCTTGTGAATATTATCATCAACAATTTGACTTAATATTGTCAGGGCCCGTTGAAATCTAAGGCAACAAGTGGCTCCATGTGGTTAAGAAATTGAAACTATATGGCTTTGCGTATATTACATCTAAGATATCCGGTTTATGTAATCACAAATCCTTGATAAACATTAAAATATGCACCATGTCAGATGCCAATGATAAAGATTCCAGAACAATCTCCAACCATGCAAAGCAGAAGTCGGGCTGATTTCTTTCCGCTTCTTCTATCTATGGTATGGAATAACTTAACACAGTTGAAATTTGGTTCACACAAAGTGGTGTTATGGAACCAAATCACATAATTATAGGAATTGTATAGGAAATCAATTAAAAGATATTTTAAGGGATTGACTTTGAGCCATTAAGGTTGCATTCTCTGCTCCAAAGGTTGACTTTTAAGAATGCTATAGGGTATATTCAACTTAAAAGTTCTTGAAACCCTCTGCTCCAACCGTCGTGTAGCCTGCTAAATGTCTTTTACATTCTGGTGCTTCACCCTCATTTCTTCTGTGAATTCCATACCCATGCACCCTCATGCAATGTCACTGTTGTTGATGGGTTTAACCTAGAGTTTAATAGAAAACCATTCTAATATATTCACAAATTTTTGTTCCTTTGTGCAGAAGTAAAAGCACAGTTTAATGTTTTCATTCAGACAAAGGGAAGACCTCAAAGAGTATATACACTCATCATATAGCTACAATTTTAACCTTTACGTAGTTAATCCAAATTACTAGTCAAAGTTTCAATCCATCATGATCATGGTATGTCCTTACAAGCTCTTTTGTTATTTTTGTACTTCTATCTATATATGGAAGGGGACAACCTTGAAAAAATGGTAAAATGATTGTTGGGTCCTAAGGAGCTTGACAATATCACAAGCATTTGTAGAATATAGCTTGAATACAAATCTTTTTCAAAGTTTAAGATAAATTTATTATTTATAAGCTTATTACAAAGAATGAAGTCTTATGCGGAACCATTAGGGGTGTTCACAGTCTGTCTAGGTAGTCTAAACCCTCAAACGACAAACCAAACCATAAGAGTGGTTTGGAAGTTTTCGAACCGTGCAGTTTGGCATGAAGTGACCTGGTGTGTCACACCAGACCACCAAATGGCGGTCTAGTTTGACCATTTTAGGCGGTTTGAGATTATAATGGCCAATGAAATAAAAATATGTATAATAGAACTACATATGTATAAATATGATGCTCTCAAAAAAAAGCTATCCATATTGCTATGAGTAATTCAACAAAAAAGTAATATTTGCGTCCATAGTTCAACAAAAAGTGATGAGAGTTGACACAAGTCAGATAATAAAAATGAAAAGACAAACAATGAGAGTTGAGGAGAACAAGAGAATGAGAAGACACAAAACAAGAAAGAGATAAGAGTCGAGAGAAGTCGAATAATATATAACTTAAGGTTTGTAATTTGAATACTTTCTCTGCATGAATAATTACTTAATTATGTATAAAGATTTGATATATAAAAATATATATGATATTATATATAGGTTGTCAGATTTGACAGAGTAAAATGCCAACCCGGTACCTCAAACCGCAGACCAAACTAAACCACACCGTTTGGCTTTTTCCCAAACCAAACTTGACCGCCAAACCACCTAAACTGCGAAATATGGTCTGGTATTGTTTGGTTTGATTGATTTTCGTGGTCTGGCAGTTTTTCTAAGCACCCCTATGGAACATAGACTATAAATCTAGTGACTTAAGCCTAAACAAGACACCTTCGTACAATGACATATTACAAGATATCTCACTCACTCAAAGCATAAGACTCAACACAAAGTATGTATGTGATCTGAGACTTCTTGGAGGAATGAACACTTGGGTTCACATTAAGCTTGAACTAGATGAATGTTCTCTAGTGAAAGCACTTGTTCATTCTCTCTTCCTCCTTGAAAGTCTTCACTTATATTTATACTTTGAGTGATGGAGGAGGATAGCCATGCGAGATGGTTTGTCTACCCAAAAGATCGTCATTTGTTGATCTTTACTGCTACCCTTTTGTGAACCCGCTAAAGTAATTTCTTCTTGATGAGACACGTGTGCCCATGATAAATTAAGTGCAAGCCAAAATACATTTAATGCAAACCATGTTGCATTAAATGTTGCTTTAATGGCATGCTTGCTTTAATGTACTATTGGGTTGACTTTGTGTCCTTGTCCGCAACTTCACATGGGTCCACCTTTTGATACTCCTTTTGCATTAAATGAGTAAGGCAAGACTTGCTCAGTTGCTGGATAGTGAACATGGCATTGGCTTTGGTGGCAACTTGCTTCATCAATCTCAGTTATTAGGGGTTCACCATCTTCTGAGCCGATATTTAATATTTGTTGAACTTCAGATGGATGATTATATCATAGCTTTACTTCTTCAGTGGTTACCTCAGTTCATAATTTACATACACTTATCATCAAAAGCCAAGTTGTACACAGACAAACTTGGTCGTCATTAGTTTTCTTGGCTTCAAACCTTGAATCTATCTGAAGGAGTCTTCATCCACTTAGTTGTTTCCCATGCTTGGTTGTTCTTGAAGGTTATTTTTTGTCAAAGTAATGCTTAGCCCCAAGTTTACAAAGGTTCACCTTCATCAAAACTTTGTGACATCTTCTAGGCGTCAGCTTTACTTTGTTCAGCTTTAGCTTCAAAAATGTCCATTGAGTTTTTGTGGTCTAATCTTGGCAATATGTTCTGTAGTGTTTAGCTTTAGTGGTAACTTCTTTTTTACACTTATCATCCCAAGGGCAAAACTTCAATGGTTATATATTTCCACTGAACTACTTCATTAGTTCTTAGTGCCACTGAGATTCTACAGATGTTGAACGACTACTTTGTCCGGTTGTAGTTGTTGATCCTTTAGTGGGTCAACACTCGATAACTTCCCATTATATCAGCTTCATGTTTAAACTTGTCTTTCATCACTTCAATCCTTCAGTTGTTTGGTCGGGTACATAACATTTAGTATCCAAATAGTCTAAGTGTTCATCAGAGGTTTGCCAATAATCAAATCCAACATGTTGGGCTTAACAGTTACTCCTTTGTGACCAAGGTCATTGGGTTGAGTTATTGATATTGGTGTAGAGGGAGAAGAACCGGTTTGTGAGGGCTAGATAGTTAGTTCATCAAAAAGATTGGTTGGCTCAAGACTAATATAGCTTAGCCATGACAACTCGACAATCCTATTGGAGTGAGCTCACCAAACTTATGTGATCCATATGGTAAATAATATTTTATTTAGCCTCTAGTAATTTGCAATTTTATTTGAAAGATTTAACTTTCAATTGTATGCAAGGCTGAAGCACATACGTGTCCATAAGAACTAGTTTTATTTGAAGGATTTAACTTTTGATTTATATGAGACTCAAGCTTATATGTGCCCTGCCCATAAGAAATGAGCAAAGGCTCAAGCCTTAGGTGAAACAAGTCCAACCTCGAGTTTAGGCTTGACAAGACATGAACCTATGACCAAGCAAGCTCATGCTTGGCTAGGATCACATACAAGACTAGTCACAAAAATAGTCGCTTTACAAAATGCAAGGAAAGATTATGTGTACAAAGACTCACCTCCTTATCCCATGTAAAGCCGAGGAGTCTTGTTGCATCGTGTTTGCCCTTTAGCAAATAAAATGAACTTTAAATGTGTTTGGCTCGTACCCTACAATTTACATCTCATCATGACTTAATTATTGCTAGTTGCAAAGAGATAGTCCTTGAAACCTCTGGACAACATCTCATAAGAGAGAGTAGGCAACTATCAAATTTGGGGTTTAACAAATAAAATAAACTACATCTTCTGTGTAGGTTTGGAAAAGCGTGAATGGCAACATATATTATTTGTGCAAATAAGCAAACCATTTTGTTCCAATAATAAGCATAAGGAAAATAAATCTCATTTCTCATAATTTCAAAATTAAATCTTATGGTAATCTCCATGATTGAAAGAAAGTTAGAGCAACCAACAAGGTTACCCAGTTGTCATTGGAAGTTCACAAGTTCTAGTAACGAAAGCAAGCTCTTTGCAAATACACAAGGAAAAAACCATGTGAAAAAGACGCACCCCAAACCCTCCAAAAGGCAAGGAGCCTTGATTGCACTAGGTTACCGTTTTTCTATGAGTACCACTCTTCACAACCATGATTACCACAATGGTAATACAATCAATTTCTTAAACAAATACATACTTCAGAAAAGAAAGAGCCACTTATGAAGATTACGCAGTTTCTAATTGTGAAACCAAATTGAGCTTTCCAAAAGGCAATATCATGTGTACTCAACTTATGAGTTAACACAATCAATGAATACCATGAAAAAAGGTTTCAAGATTCCTCTGAAACTCATTCTTATAAAAGTCAACTTGTAAGTTTACAATACAGCTGCATATCAGACCTTGCAAAGATATTCCGACAGACAACACACAACTAATCAGATCAGAACAAATTCTTTGTAGTTGAACAACTCCATTAAGAACGCAGTTCCATGAATAAGTAGAAATGATGCACTACCCCATGAGTTCCATAAACAGAGCTCGAACTGTTTATTTTTCTAAATGTCAACCCTAGTACTTCTCAAATGCAAAACTGCATCCGTTTCATTGCAAATTTAAAACCTAACACAATCCTTCTCATAGCACTTGCTGTTTATTCAACGTAGTTAACAAGTTGAAAACTCCAAAACCCATATTATTTCCCCATAATCACTCGTTTGACATCGAATTCAAAGTGAACGGAGCAGAAACCACACAAGACAGCTCAAGGAAAATGCCACACACTAAAATTAGCAGGCAAATAAACGTACCAGATGAAGCAAAAACCAAAAAATTGATCGAATCCTAACAAAAAATACTGTACAATTGGAATTTCTCAACGAAATGGTATGCATATAAAAGATACGAGTTGGGTTTCTTTACCTGGGTATTTCTCGGAAAACCCAAATGGGAAAATGGCAGATCTATCGATTATTGAATGACAGATAGAGAAGGATATTGGGGTTTATCAACGTTGGTATCAACTTTTACAGAAAATTCGTCAAATTTGGGTCGAGATTTTTTCCTAAACCGTTTGCTTGGAGTCAAGAGGGACAGAGGTATGAACAATATGAACAAGAAGGTGAAAATGGAAACCAAGATTATATACTCCCTCTCGCTAGGAAGAGAGATGGAAAGAGAGAGAGAAGCAAGAAAGAGACCGGGATCAAATTCTTTCAGAATTTATTTCTTCAATTTTGACAATTTTTTTTTTTTTTTTTTTTTTTTAATATCAAAATACTTTATTATTCGAAAAATTGTAAAAAATCATTTTTAAATAGAGAAGAAACCAATACCAGTAGTCAATGAGCCCATGAACATGAAACCTACTTTTTCACAATTTTAGCATAAAAAATATGAATTAAATATCTCACTGAGACCATTTTTCTTTTAATTTTGAAAAAGTAATATTTAATTATTTATTATTTATTATTTGAGTAGTATTTAATTATTAATTTCTGAATTATTAATTATTTATTATTAGCAGTCATATTTTGGATTATTATCTTATATTAATTATTTATAACATTAACATTTTATATTGTAATAACTATTCATCATTCAATAAATTTAATCGATCATAAAATAAAGGTGGAACTTATTTTTCCGACGACTAAAAAGTCCAACGATAGTGGCAATACCACTCAACCTGATGGCAGCGACTTCATAAACTCGTCCGTTTCTTTCATTAACGATGGTGGATTCATAAAAGGTTGTGGTGGATTCGTAAACGACGAGACAATACCACCCAGTGGTACGTCTGGAGGATTCATAAACCCGTCTGATGGTTTCATAAATGACGGCAGATTCATACATAGTTTGTGGTGGACTCACAAACAATGGCGACAAATACCACCCAGGGGTGCTTCCAGAAGATTCATAAACTCGTTCGGTGGTTTCACATATGAAATGTTATTATGAATTGCTTATAAAAATATAATATGTTCAATAAGTGAAACAACATTGGTATGAAACGAGGTTAACAAAATATGTTATTGTTTCATATGTGAAACCAAAATAGTTTATTTGGTTTTATGTGAAAAACAAAAATAATTGGTTTGGTTTTATATGAGAAACAAAACTGTTACAATGAAGATGGTTATGACAACCAGGTATGGGATTTTTAAGGAAGATCTTATTCCTAAAATAACCATCTTAAACATGACATTTTATGAGATATTTACAGAAAATGGCTACTCCTAAAATACAAATCTGTTAAAAGACATAAATACCCTTGTTTCTCTGATATTCTTTTAAGAAGTTGTTAATTTGCGAGATCCGTAAGATTTAATTTAAATCACAAAAAATATCTTATATAAATTAAGAATCTATCCCTGTCTCTCATCTCTCCTAATCTTTTCTCTTATCTCTCGTCTCCTCTCTCTCCATAATATATGCGTATATGCACATAATTGAACAGGTTGTAAAAAAATTCAAAAATACATTATAGTTTGTGAACATATTTTAAACGTACGAAATCTGATATAACTTGTGAATATAAACCAAATATAAACATACCACTTGTGAATCCCCTAATAAAAAATTATTATTGTATATCGAAATGGAAACACGAGAGAAGAAGAGAGAGAAAAAGATAAGTATGACTACGTTAATTATTATTCAATAAATAACAATAATTATCTAATTAATTAATAACAATTCATTTAGATGCTATGCACATGTGCATATGAGTAACTGAAGTTGACTCTTGGTTTTTATACATGTGTGCATGTTATGCACATATGCTTACCAGACAAATTATTTATAAATTACCTGCATGTACATATGCATACCGTCCAGATAAACTGTTAACAGGACGCTACCTAGTTTTTCATTTTTTACAAATTTTCTCCAAACTTGACCCTCTATATATTATGTGTGTAGTATTGACTTGGTATTGACTTTGAAAGCCCAAGACTTCTACTTGCATTTTTCTCCCTATCATTTTACTTCTTAATATATGCAAGACTAGACTTGTTCTATAGAATATATTTAAATCATTCCAAGTTGTTGATAAAATTTAATTTCTTTTGTTTTTAAATAAATACGATCAAATAGATTATGTTTGACAACCATAAAATATCAAATACTTATTTTTCAGCTCGTTTAAAAAAGCTGAGTTTGGTAAACCATATGATTATCTTTAATAGCGGGTTTTTTATAAGCAAAACGTATAGATTCGTACGCGAAACTATCATTGAAAAAAGTTCTTATAAGAATCTCACATCCTTTTAATTATTGTATAAGAACGTTGATTCTTACAACCATGAGGGGTGTGTTGTGTTGGTTCGAGGCCCTGAGGATGTGGTGAAATATCTCATTTGTCCATAGTTCGATTTCAGGTGTACACAATAATTGTGGTCGCTGAGTTTATCATGACTGATTTATTGCAGTTACAATATGTCGGGATTAGTCTAGCCAGTCTTAACACCCTTCCAAAAAAAACATTGTTTCTTATCGTGGACTTGGTGTGAAATGACATTTTATATTAGATTATATATATACATATATTATTTTTATATCATATATCATTATTAATATGTGTATATTTATTTAACTTGTGAAAAATTATGAAAAATGAGGTTATTATAGGTTCCGCCACCAGAATGCTCTTATATATGCATCAGAGCATCTACAATTGAAGTTCTTGTTGAGGTTTATTTTCGGGTTTTTATAAGAACTTATATTGTGGGATAAGAGTTCTTGTCCAGTCACATGTTTTTTATTAGAATTAAGATACTTGAACAAGAACCCGAGTTCATATATACATTTATTTTTTACTATTTATTTATTACTTTTATTATTTCTTAGTCTTTTTATTTTTTAATAAATCTATAAAACATATAATTAAAATTGATACAAAAATATAAAGTAATTATTATAAAATAAAGTTTTGAATTTTATTTAATTACTCGTTTCTTGTAATTTCTTATACATGTTCTTCGTATCAAGAAGTTTAAATTTTAAATTATATCATTATTTATTATTTAGTGTTATATTTTATAAAGATTAATATTTGTGTAATTTTTTATAATTTTATGATATATATAACATATTAAATTTATATAATATTCTATAAATAAAATTAGATTTTATAAATTATATTAAAATGGAAAGTGTTCTTTTCGTAGAAACTTTTATTGTGAGGTTTTATTGAGATTCTTATTTTGTTGATATGATAGATAGTGATAGGACATAGAAAATACGACAAACGAGATTTTTAGAAATTCCGTCCCTGAGCGTACTTTTAATGCAACTTCTTTTCTTGATATGATATTAGAAGTGGCAAAAAAGGTGAAACATTTAATGAATTAAAATAAGTTGTCTCTGGTTATTGATTAAACAATCCAATCATAATCCATCAATGTTTTTCTTGTTCTTTTAATTTTAAGAATAACTAACTAAAATGGTACTCGCACAATACAGCGAGATATATCTCGATTTTAGTGTTTCGTTTTTTTTTTTTTTTTTTCAGTCGATGCTATAATACGGTTTTATGTGGTTTTGAGAAAACGATAATGTTTTTAGTTTTAAATAAAATATAAATATGAATATTCATAAAATTTAGATTTTTTAATTTAAAATGAGATGTTTATACTCTATTTGATTATGTTTATCTGCAGCTAGTTACACGAATTCAAACATTAAGCTTTAATAATTTGTACCTACGCACAATTTACTTGTAATGTTAAATTTTAAGTAATATGCATCAATAAACAGTACTTCATTTTAAAAAAATGGTTTTTAAGAGTTTTTGTCAAATGCTTTATAATGTAACTAGAAGGGTATTCGCACAATGCAGCGAGATAAATCTTAATTTTAATGTTTAATTTTTATTCTTTGTCACTATCGATATAATACGATTTTATGTGGTTTTGAGAAAACGATGCTTTTCTTTTTGGTTTAACAATATAATTTTTTAGTGCTAGCTCGGGCGCGGTAACAAAGGTCCTCGCCAACCTCGTAGCGGAGAGGCGGCTTATTGCAACAATTTGAATTAAAGACGATAATTAAACATTTTGTTAGAATTCAATTATTATCTTAATTATATTTTAGATTTCTATATTTAAAATGAATGTTTATTCTCTATTTGATTATGTTTATCTGCAGTTAATTATACGAATTCAAATATGAAACTTTAATAATTTGTACCTACGCACAATTTATTTGTAATTTTAATTTTTAAGTAATATGTATCAATAAACAATATTTCATGTTTAAAAAATGGTTTTTAAGAGTTTTTGTCAAATGCTTTATAATATAGTATAAATATATTAAATATAACTAGAAGCGTACTCGCGCAATGCAGCGAGATACATCGTGATTTTAATATTTCATTTTATTTTTTATCTCAGTCGATGTTATAATATGGCTTTATGTGATTTTGAGAAATCGATGATGTTTTTATTTTTGAATAAAATAYATGTCTGAAGATATCATAAAAATTTGACAAAGATATATCGATATTAGTATCAAATTAACTATTTAAAATTCCTCATTTTTTTGTGTAATTTTTAATTCAATTTTTTATAATTTAATTTATGTACAATAACGAAGTAATTTATATTTGGTTTAATAATATAATTTTT